AGGGGGATCCCCCTCGACACCCCGACACCTTCCCTCTCAGTTCAGACGGACGCCTCCCTCACAGGTTGGGGGGGGGTCCTGGGCGAGCACTCAGCCTCCGGCTGAGCTATACTCAAACAGGGCGTATCCCGCCTGTAGGGTTGAAGGCTCATTCGGTTAGGGCAGTGGCTACATCGACAGCTTACGCTGCAGCCCTGCCCATTGAGGAGATCTGCTCCGCGGCTATTTGGAGCCGTCCGAGTACGTTCATCCGTCATTACCAACTTGACAGACTCTCCAGTGAGCGTGCTCGGTTCGGTCAGTCAGTTCTCTCCAGTGGGCATGGTTCCACCTCTCTAGCCGATTGAGCTTTCGAGGTTTTATTGTGTGAACCGTTATCTGCCAATTTTTTAACACTGGTGTTGGGTTTTACAAATCTTGTTACATTTCCCTTGGTGATGGGTTTATGTGGTGATGGTTTTTATTCCCATGTCTCTTGCTTTCTAACCGAGAAGCGATAGACTAAACTGCCCTTGGAAACTTTGCTGTTCACGGCATTTCGTTTCTGGGTTTATTGCGGGACCCTTATCTTCACTTCCGAGTAGATTACGGGAAGGAGGGAGGGTGTGTCTCGTTCGTTGCATTAGCTTTGGAGGTTTCGCTGGACAAAATTTGCATACGTTTACCCCTGACCCTGGCTCATGCCCCCGCCTGATTGGCTTTGGTGGACACGTGACCGGGTAAGTGTGCCTTTTCTGCTATAATTAGCTTGGGAAATTCCACTTCTTGTCGGGGGTGTTTAAGCAGACAGAATGCCGCTCCTGAGATCCGTCTTTAGGAGTCTGTCTTATGCTTATAAGTACCCCAAGGAGGAATATATAAAAAGAATCGAACTAACCTGTAGAGGTTTAAGATTCTTTGAATATATTCCTCCTTGGGTACTTGCCCCACCACCTCCCGCATTCTGTCTGACTTCGCTCAGCATGGAAAGTGAGGTACGAGGTTACGGTCTGGAGTTACCTGCTCTTGGCTGTAGGGGGCCAGAGGGCCCTGTAAGGGTGGTCTCACAAGACAAAACGTAGTTTTTGTTTTGTAAATATTTTATTCAAAATATTGTTACAACTGTCGTAGGGATTTTAAATGGACATTTAAATGCTTATAAGTACCCCAAGGAGGAATATATTCAAAGAATCTTAAACCTCTACAGGTTAGTTCGAGTTTTTGGCCATTTACCACTGTGGAAGCGAGGTCCGCCCGACTTCACCGGCATACGCCACACTCCGGTGCCATCATGTCAGGCAAGGGCGGAGATATTGCGCGACGAAGTTCAGGCTCTGATGGACAAGTCCGCAATCGAGCGTATTCCACTGGGAGAGGAACAGGCGGGATTTTACTCCACGTACTTCCTCGTCCCGAAGAAAGACGGCGGGTTCCGTCCCATTCTCAACCTCAAGGGGTTGAACCTCATGCTCGAAGTACCATCCTTCAAGATGGAGACACTGCGTTCGGTGATCTCCTCTGTTCAGCCCGGCGATTGGATCACGTCAATCGACCTCAAGGATGCGTATCTGCATGTGCCCATACATCCCTCGTTCAAGCAGTACCTTCGGTTCTCTTACGACGGGATGTGTTACCAATTCACGGTGCTCCCCCCTTCGGCATATCCACTGCCCCAAGGGTGTTCACCAAGCTCATGTTAGTCCGGCTACCCTCGCCGCTCGCAGGAAGGCGTTGTTACCCCTTACCTCAACGACTGGTTGCTCGGAGCACTAACACAGCCAGCGAGCCTAGATGCTACTCACACAGTGATAGACATTCTAGTTCGACTGGGGTGGATCATCAACCTCAAGAAATCCGACCTGGTTCCCATCCAGTACTTGGTTTTTCTCGGTGAGATTCCAAACACACAAGGATCTAGTTTCCTTTGTCGCCCGAATCGGATCACCAGAGTACGGGAGATGGTGTCTTCGTTCCTCTCCCAGCCCCAGGCACCAGCACGGACTTGGCTCCGTCTACTGGGCCATATGGCGGCGACGATCTCTGTAGTGTGGCGGGCGCGGTTGAGGATGCGCCCTATAGAGCAAGCTTTGGCGAGTCTGTGGGCTCACTCGGAGGACCTGGAGCCAGTCTCACAGTTCCCGGGTGGTTGACACCTCACCTTCAGTGGTGGACCAATGTCGGGGAATCTCACCAGGGGGTCCCCTTGGAAATCCCGGACGCCAGCTCTCACAGTTCAGACCGATGCGTCCCTCACGGGCTGGGGGGTAGTTCTGGGCAGTCTGTCGGTGTCCGGACTCTGGTCCGAAGCCGAAGCCCACCTTCACATCAACATGTTGGAACTGAGAGCTGTGCGGTTGGTTTTCGAGTGCTTCAGAGAGCATGTCCAGGGCCAGGTAGTCCGTCTTCAGTTGGACAACCAGACGGCCATGTCGTACATCCTGAAGCAGGGCGGCACGGTGTCCCGAGCGCTCCTCCAGGAGACGTGGGACTTTCTACTCTGGTGCGACCAGTGCAATTGTCAGGTACTCCCTGTTTATCTCCCGGGGCTGGAGAACGTGCGAGCAGACGCTCTCTCTCGCCGGATCCTGGCCCCGCATGAGTGGATGCTCGACAGGCAGATTTTCAGAGTTATCTCCCAGTTGTACGGGTCGTTCCAGGTGGATCTGTTTGCGTCCGGCGGGACGCATCAGACACCCGTGTTCTGCTCTCGAATACCGGACCCAGAGGCGTTGGCTGCCGACGCCTTCCTGCTGGATTGGACGGTGACTGTGTTTCACACTGATCGTGTCAGTATTCGCCTCCCGGATACTTACCGCCCGAAGGTCGATCACGCTTTCCATGTGACAGCTCCTATCGAACTTCCCACTCTTACCCAGCCTTCCACATCGGGGACCTCTGCAACGAGCACTCACCCGTTGGATGTCCGTAAGACCCTCAAAGTCTATATCAAACGAACGCAGGGAATCTGTACGGGTACCCAGCTGTTCTGTTGTTACGGTGGCGGGAAGGCTGGTGTGCCGGCGAGCAAGCAGACTTTGTCTCGCTGGCTAGTTTCGTGTATTTGTGCCGCTTATCAGGCTAAGGGCAAGCCTCCCCCTGAGGGGTTGAAGGCTCACTCGGTCAGGGCAGTAGCCGCATCAAAAGCTTTTGCATCGGCACTCCCCATTGAAGAGATCTGCTCTGCCGTTATTTGGAGCCGGCCTAGCACGCTTATTCGGCATTATCAGCTCGATACGCATTCCCGTAATCGTGCGAGCTTTGGCCGTTCTGTTCTCTCCAGTGGACAGTGTCCTGCCACCCTGACCGAGTGAGTCTTGGTTCATTGGTTTTGTTTGACGCTGCTGTTCAATACTGAGTTTTATTGACATATCCGCTACTGGGAGCTAACTACCCACATTTCGATTCTCTACGGAGTATTTAGGTCGATTGTGAGTGTTTTGACATTCCCCCCTACGGTGCTCACTAATCGACACGTGGTGGGTGGGGCTTTGTTTACATTTCGCACCATGTGCGATTTACTATGCTAACATTTGGAGGTCGTCTTTGAGCACAAATCCTCCCTGTCAGTTCCCCTCCCATAATGCCTCTCGCGGACGCGAAAACTGGGACATACGACAGGTGAGTGTCATGGCGTCTGTTACATTATTTCAATTAACGATAGCTATTTGTGTGTGCTTGGACAGAATTCCCTCCTCCCTGGCCTTCGGTCTTTGGGAGTCTGTGTTTATGCATAATATGTACCCCAAGGACGATCTCTATGAAGAAGAATTAACCAAACCTGAAGAGGTTTTAAATTCTTCGAAAAGAGTCGTCCTTGGGGTAGGGCCTCCCGCCTCCCCGCAATTCTGTTCACTGATGTATTCAGCAGAAGGAATGATGATACGGGCCTAGGTGCTTACCCAGTTGGTGCGCATGCGCAACGGGAGGTAACTCCACGAGGTGGGGGCCGTATAATAAATAAAAAAGTTTACTTATTGTACAATCTTTTTATTCAAAAAACATTGATACAACTGTCACAGGACATTTTCAGTGTGGAAAATGCATAATATGTACCCCAAGGACGACTCTCTTCGAAGAATTGAAAACCTCTTCAGGTTTGGTTAAATTTCACCCCAGCGTCTTAGAATATCAAACACATCAACAAAATTATTTCGTTTAAAACTCAAAGGCTTGCTGAGCAGTTTAACACTTTTAATGATGAGCATTATATATTTGATATTAAAACAGGCAATGGTGAGATTCTGTTTCTCTCATTTTCCAACATTTTCAGTTTGTAAACTGTAATAACCAGTGTCTTGGGGTGGAAATAGTACAGTTAACCACCCTTCTTGACAGAAAAGACCAGTGAATGTCCGGTTAGAATATTGGCCTTCAGTAACCCATGCTTGTTGTAAGAGGCGACTAACAGGATTTGGTGGTCAGGCTCGCTGACTTGGTTGACACATGGCATCGGTTCCCAATTGCTGTTGATTACTGGATTGTCTGGCCAAGACTTGATTATTTACAGACCATTGCCATATAGCTGGAAAATTGCTGAGTGCAGCGTAAAACTCAACTCACTCACTTACCCCTGACAGAAAGATACATGGTGTCAGTTGATTGTGACATCATGGTAACTGATGATGTCACAGTAGTCAGCAAAATGTTATTAATCCAATTTCTTTGCAACATTATCTCCTAGGAGATACGGGATGATAAATATACAATATTCAATAAGGTGTATCATGTGGTCATGATTGGTCTCTGGTACTTCTGTGAATCTCTTCAACCTTGATGTCATCTTTCCGACCCATACAGCTTCGTGTTTTTTTGGGGATGGTGGGGTAGCCTAGTGGTTAAAGTGTTCACTCATCACTCGAAGACTGGGGTTCGATCCCCACATGGGTACAGTGTGTAAAACCCATTTCAGGTGTCCTCTGCCATTATATTGCTTTGATATTGCTAAACGTAGCTTAAAACCCAACTCACTTGCTCGTTTTATATCACAGATCAATGTACAGAGATTCTTGTTTTTCTTTCAGTGATGAAGTGGCTGCAGAACAATCACACGCGGGCTTTCTACTCCTCACATGCTGATGTCTTCCCCCTTCTGCCAATTGTAAGTGCCTGCTGTATGGCTATATTTACTGCGACTGTTGTCAGTGTCGGTGGTAGCTACATTTTGACGGAGACCCGTGAAGGTCCGGGTTAGAATATTGATCTTCAGTAACCCATGCTTGTCGTAAGAGGCGACTAACGGGATTGAGTGGTCAGGCTCGTGTCATCGGTTCCCAATTGCGCACATTGATGCTCATACTCTTGATCACTGGATTGTCTGTTCCAGACTTGATTATTTACAGACCACCGCCATATAGCAGGAATATTGCTGAGTGCAGCGTTAAACTAAACTGAAACTGGGTTACTGAAGATCAATTTTAACCCAGATCTTCATGGGTTCAGATGTAATATGAATGTAAGCAATGATATAACTGAACTATGTTTTGATCTGTGTTACTTCAGATCTGTACACTGGAGAGTGAGTCGACGGATGATGATCTGAAGACAGACTGTGCCACAGCGCTGATGTGTCTGGCCCAGAGCCTCATCCAACCTGACCACATCAAGGTGGCTCTTACCACTGTCAGGGAGGTGAGTTATAACATCTTTCTGTCAAGTTGCAGTTTATTAACACTTTCAGGAGATGTGATCCATTGAATCTAACCTGGCTATGCGATAACTAAACTAGAATAGATCCCCAGTTCTTTATGCTTGTGGTATAAGTTGGCTTAGGTTCAGGATTGGATAGAGTTAAGCAATTTCATATCAGCTTGGATTTTTGCTCACACTCTCAACCCCTGGTTCATCAAGTCAATTTTTTTTTTTATTTTTATTTTATTTTATTTTATTTATTTTGTTTGTGTGTGTGGGTGTGTGTGTGTGTGTGTGTTGTTTTTGTTTTTTTGCGATTCCTGGTTCGATCCAATTAAGTTTGCAGGGTAGCAGTACATGGTAACACTGTAGCATAGTATCTCAAGGGGCAAACACTTTATAACCTGGTCTATTCAGTTCAATGGCCTTTATGACCTGTGTATTGGTTACATGTATGTCGTATCTAGTGACACTTCTCGTTTGAAGGTTGCGGGGTTACAGTCATGGCATGCCCGAGCTGCCATCTTGCGGTACATTCAGGCTGTGGTGTTTGGGAACATGTTCCTGATGAACAAGCCAGAACACAAGCAGTGCATCCACGACATCCTGCTGCATCTCATCTGTGATGAACAGCTAGAGGTAGGTCCTGTTTCTCATACAACCTGAGGTGTGGTGGGGTAGCCTCGTGGTTAAAGAGTTCACTCATCACACCAAAGACCTGGGTTTGATTCCCCACATGGGTACAATGTTTGAAGCCCATTTCTGGTGTCCCCTGTCGTGAGGTGAGGTTAGGTGAAATTGGGTTTAAAGTCATGCTTGAGAATATTTTGCTCATATGACGACGTGCGTGCGTGTGTATGGGTATGTGCGGCTGCTTGTACTAGCCCAGACTGAAGCTGGTTTTATAGTGCTAGCCCACTGAGATACCATGCCGCAGTGAAGCATGAATACCCTGCTCAGGCACATTATGCTGACTCCGAGCCGACCAGTTGTACCCATTAATGCCGAGCGCCAGGAAGGGACCAACAAGTACCATATTTTAACGTCTTTTGGTATGACATGGTCAGGGATCGAACCCACGACCTTCCGCTTCTCCGGCGGACGCTCTAACCACTACACCATGGAGACGGTCCTCCCCTGTCGTGATATTACTGGAATATTGAAAATTGTCATAAAACTGAACTCACTCATCCACCATGACATGGAGCCACCAGTCCTCAAAATGCCCCACGTACCCATTATTTGTTGAGTGAGCTACTGGTGTAAAGGTAATGGTGTTAATCTGTGATTTGTTGATGTGTAATTTTACTATGATAGCAGTGGTTGTTAGTCATGCAATCAACCACTGGTTTGCTAGTTAAAAGAGTCGTGCACTTTTCATCTAACTGCAAGCAAAATGATGTTTAATAGCACAACAGGAATTAGCAAAATCAAGCTGGTCCCTGATATGCCAATATTTTTTAAAGTGGGAGCTTTGATCTCAGCTACAGCTGAAAAATAAAGTTGTTGCACAATTACTGGAATTATTGTTCTCAAACAAAGGTGTAATAATGGGAATGTATTCTAGTAGTTAAGGAAGCATAATAATGTACACTAACATATGGTGAGATTGGGTGATGGAATCCGTATGATCTGGCCTGAATGTCAGTATCAGGTCATTAACAATCTGATGATCTTGAAAATAAAACAAGTCAGGAAAATAGTATTGATGCTGGGTGAAACACATTCTGTATTGATGATATCTTTGAGACTGATGTTGACTTTTTCCAGCCTTATTTACAGTGTATGATATGGATGTTGTAGGTCCGTGAGATGGCCAGTGTGACTCTGAGTGGACTCCTACATTGTGGCTACATGGAGATGGAGGAAGATTTCATTGTAAGTTCATTTCCAGTGCCCGTTCCAGTCATAGTAGTGTTGAGATCACTGTGTGGAGTGAGGTGCAGGTTAGAATTGGTCTTCAAGAAACCATGCTTGTCATAGGAGGCTCCTAATGTTGGCTTGTCAGGTTTACTTACTTGGTAAACGCATGTCATCATATTTCATTTGTGTAGATCGATGCTCATGATGTCAATCACTTGGTCGTCTCAGGACTCGATTATTTTCAGACGTCTTCACTTCTGTACAGCATTAAACAATAACAAAGAAAAAATCAACAACCAAATGTTTTTTAGCCAGATACATTATTTGAATTTGTCAAAGAAAGTCCTGCAGTTCGTTGTGCACGAGCTGTCACCAACTAAGTGCTCAGCCAAATGGTTAAAGTATTTGCTCAAAACCAAGATGAGGCGTGTTAAGTTTCTCCATATTTTGCATTTTGTATAAATTTGATTAATGTGCCCCCATGGCAGAAGTAAACGTTTAAAACATGAACTTCACTATCACACAACATGTACTAATAAAAAGAAGTAAAGAACATCTGATTTAGTGGGGGCAGTTCTTTTGCTTCATTTGAGTAGTATATATATATAGTTTCAGGATTTTTACCACCGAGAAATTCTTCACTGCTTTTTAAGGGGCATTTAAACTGGGATGTCAGTTAGTTGTTTGGCTAATACTATCCTTTAAAAATGAGTTGGTTAATTGTCTTTCACACATTACATTACAGGCTCTATTGATAGAGTTTTCCGATTGTTCTCAACGATTGAAAAACTGTAACTGGAACATATTTGAAGACTGGAAGGGATTTTCATGATGTTATTTTGATGACTTTTAGGGACATTTTGAGCGTCTAAGTCGCACGAAGCTGAAGAAGCGTAAGAAGACAAGTGAGTCTGTGTCCATGGAGTCTTTGATCCAGAGACATGCTGGAGTGCTGGGGCTAGGGGCTTGTGTCCAGGCGTTCCCCTACCAGGTGCCTGAGTTTATACCTCGTGTACTCATGGAGCTGAGTCCTCACGTCAACGACCCACAGCCCATACAGGTAGGTCGACATTGTCTTACCACCCACAGCCCATACAGGTAGGTCGACATTGTCTTACCACCCACAGCCCATACAGGTAGGTCGACATTGTCTTACCACCCACAGCCCATACAGGTAGGTCGACATTGTCTTACCACCCACAGCCCATACAGGTAGGTCGACATTGTCTTACCACCCACAGCCCATACAGGTAGCCCATACAGGTAGGTCGACATTGTCTTACCACCCACAGCCCCATACAGGTCGACATTGTCTGTCTTACCACCCACAGCCCATACAGGTAGGTCGACATTGTCTTACCACCCACAGCCCATACAGGTAGGTCGACATTGTCTTACCACCCACAGCCCATACATACAGGTAGGTCGACATTGTCTTACCACCCCACAGCCCATACAGGTAGGTCAGACATTGTCTTACCACCCACAGCCCATACAGGTAGGTTGACATTGTCTTACCACCCACAGCCCATACAGGTAGCCCATACACAGGTAGGTCTGGACATTGTCTTATTGTGTCTTACTCACCCACAGCCCATACAGGTAGGTCGACCACCACCCACAGCCCATACAGGTAGGTCGACATTGTCTTACCACCCACAGCCCATACAGGTAGGTCAGACATTGTCTTACCACCCACAGCCCATACCACATACCACATTGTCCTACCACCCCATACAGGTAGGTCACACATTGTCTTACCACCCACAGCCCATACAGGTAGGTCGACATTGTCTTACCACCCACAGCCCATACAGGTAGGTGACATTGTCTTACCACCCACAGCCCATAGCCCAGATAGGTATTGTCTTACCACCCACAGCCCATTGTCTTACCACCCACAGCCCATACAGGTAGGTTCGACATTGTCTTACCACCCAAAGCCCATACATAGGTCATTACCACCCACAGCCCATACAGATAAGTCCACATTGTCTTACCACCCACAGCCCATATTGTCTTACCACCCAGGTAGGTAGACATTGTCTTCTTACCACCCACAGCCCATACAGGTAGGTCGACATTGTCTTACCATACCACAGCCCATACAGGTAGGCTGACATTGTCTTACCACCCACAGCCCATCCAGGTAGGTCGACATTGTCTTACCACCCACAGCCCATACAGGTAGGAGTCGACATTGTCTTACCACCCACAGCCCATACAGGTAGGGTCGACATTGTCTTACCACCCACAGCCCATACCATACAGCCCATACAGTAGGTCGACATTGTCTTACCACCCACAGCCCATACAGGTAGGTCGACATTGTCTTACCACCCACAGCCCATACAGGTAGGTCCATTGTCTTACCACCCACACATTGTCTTACCACCCACAGCCCATACAGGTAGGTTGACATTGTCTTACCACAGGTAGGTCAACATTGTCTTACCACCCACAGCCCATATAGGTATTGTCTTCCACATTGTCACTGTTACCACCCACAGTCCATACAGGTAGGGTCGACATTGTCTTACCATCCACAGCCCATACAGGTAGGTCGACATTGTCATACCACCCACAGCCCATACAGGTAGGTTCGACATTGTCTTACCACCCACAGCCCATACAGGTAGGTCGACACTGTCATACCACCCACAGCCCATACAGGTAGGTCGACATTGTCATACCACCCACAGCCCATACAGGTAGGTCGACATTGTCATACCACCCACAGCCCATACAGGTAGGTCGACATTGACACTGTCATACCACCTACAGTCCATACAGGTAGGTCGACATTGTCTTACCACCCACAGCCCATACAGGTAGGTCGACATTGTCTTACCACCCACAGCCCATACAGGTAGGTCGACATTGTCTTACCACCCACAGCCCATACAGGTAGGTCGACATTGTCTTACCACCCACAGCCCATACAGGTAGGTCAACATTGTCATACCATCCACAGCCCATACAGTTAGGTCAACATTGTACAGTGTGTAAAGTCCATTCTTAGTGTCCCCCATCAAAGTGTTGCTGGAATATTGCTAAAAGCAGCACACATCCTAAACTCAAACCAAACTCACACACTCAGCTTATCGATAGCAGAACTCGGAAGTTGTTGGAATTGAAGAGATCAGGGCCCTTATTTTCAAAACATTCGTAGCCCTATGAACTTCTTAAGCCCATTCTTAACACATTGGCTGCGATCCAAGTTAAGAATTCTTAGGGCTGCGAATGTTTAAAAAATATGGGCCCTGAAATTTGACATTGAAATAATATTCAAATTAATATATATATTCATATCTGTTCCAGATGTCTGTAAAGAAGATTCTGTCAAACTTCCGACGCACACATCACGACAACTGGCATGACCACAAGCTCAAGTTCACCGATGACCAGCTGGTGATTCTTACTGACCTGCTGGTGTCCCCTAACTACTATGCATAACATTGTGGCTCACTAGGTGGGTGCTAGAAGAAGGCGATGTATGAACTTCGAAATCTTAATAGACAGAGATGCCAACCATTACAAGTTTACCATAATCATTGCTATTTCAATCTAAAATTATGATAAAGTCAACTATTACTGAAAAATATGAAAATCAGTTTGTTAAAAAAAAGTAAAAGTGTACCTTTAGTTGTTTATTTGTTCCATTGTGTGCAATTTGCTACATCATTAACAGGGTCCTGTAGGGAGCTCAAGTTATATATGATGATAAAACAGTTTGTTTCCGATTTCTTTCAAATAACTTCTGCAAGTAAATGAACTTTGTGAACATTATTGCAAAGGTAATTCATGTGCATACATACTACTACTAAAAATACTTATGATGTCGTTAGTTGTGGTCTTCAGCAACCCTTGCTTGTTGCAAAGGGCAACTAACAGGATCGAGTGGTCACCGACTTAGTATCCAACATTTATGAATCAGTTTTTAAGATGTCAATCACAGGATTATTACATCATATAACTGAAACATTGCTCAGTGCGGCATGGAACAAAAACTGAACAAAAACACTAGGACAGATTGCTATTGAAAATGTTTGCCTGCCATGTGCTTATGGTTTTTATCAAAAAGGTCTGTAGTACCTCCTACCTTTCATAATATCAACTCAAATGGGGATTTGGTGGTAATATTCTGTGTCTTTGGGGATTGGAAGTCATGATTGCCTAATGGTGTGGTTACTTACTCATGCTTCTAACTTGTTCAGGTGAATGTCACTAGTTTGTATTGTGGAAGAATAACAGTGTATGGATGAACAGCTTCTTTATTACAGTGACATTGACGTTTTGGTGTAGGTTCTTCATCACTTGTGTTAGCACCTACACCAAAACATCGCTTTCACTGTAGTAAAGAAGTTTCATCTGTCTATTGTTATCCTTCCATACAAATCCAACTTCTAAATGCCTCTCAAAGGAGTAAGTTTGTATTGTCTAGACTAAATTATTTACATGCTACTGTCATGAATATTGCCGAGTCAGCATGAACAGCAGTCATTCTTACTTACCTCTTTCTTCATGTTTGTCTTCAAGGTCGACAGTAATGTTGCTGTCACTCAACCACCTGCTTCCAGACCAACTCTGCAGTCAAGGAGGGCGTGTGTTGCCCACTCAGCTTTTAATGCATGTTTGTGTGTATGTTGTTGAACATGCTGAAAAAATGTGCAGTGCGATCTAGACACACCGACTGTTGCACCTCCACTGCTACTCAACCTGTCATGTGACTTCTGCAGTATGGTCAAAATATTGTTAATATCCGCTTGTGTGTGTTTGAATGTTTGTCATCAATTTACGCTAGATCTCAGTTGGAGGATTATCAAAATTTACACTTTTTGCATTACTTTTTTATGCCTTCTGGTTACAAACTGTAGCCCCTGAAAATTGTCAGATTTGTTTATTCGGTTATCAAAATGATGTACGTGTGTGACTGAACTATGTCTTATTGTATACAGTTGGAATGTCTTTTATGTCAAATATAAACATGTAAAGTTTTATCTGTATGAATTATCTCCCCTAAACACAAGCCAAGTCGGCAACAGTAGCAACAAAAAGGTGTATTAATTATCAATATTATTGTTCTAAATTTCTTCAGAAATCCGTCAAGTGAATCTTGTTACGAACAAGTGAAAAAATGTAGTGTGAGTTATTCATTGTATTTGATATGTGAAGTACTGTGATCCAACCTGTTGGTTACTTATAACTGACATTTTACATTGGTATAACCCACACCTTGAGAGTTTTACTACACGAATGAAGGTGCTGAATACTAGCATCCGTTTCACAAAGCAACCATCCCGCTGTGACTCCTCTTGTGTAACATAGCTTTACAATAACTGTAGAGTGCTGATAATTTTGTGAAACGGGTTCCTGGTTGTCAGGGTGCTTAGCCATTCCATGACTCACTTGTATGTTTTACCTGGCAAGGCCGATTCTTCATATCTGTAGCTGAGAGAAACCAACTGTTTACTTCAGAAATCTGCTTCCCCAAAGAGCTATTCCTATAAGCTCCACATTGTCTGTTTTAGGGGACACAGAAGGCCGTGTTGTGTAAGCGACTTCTCTGAGTTGTGAAGGGTGCATCCTATGGACATGGCAGGAACGTTGTTTTACAACTTCATGTTTTACCAATGCTCATGAGTTTCACCTTAGTGGTGGGGTAGCCTAGTGGTTTAAGCTAAGCTCATATTGCCGAAGATCTGGGTTCGATTCCCCACAAGTGTAATATGTGTGAAGTCCATTTCTTGTGTTCCTTCACTGTGATAGTGTTGGAATATTGCTAAAAGCAACATGAAACTCACTCACTCATCAAAATGGTAAGCATCTCAGACCTGGTTAGACCCTACAAACTGTGATATAACTGGAACACTGTTCAAAGCGATAAAAAATCAAACTCCCTCTCGTGTCCTTCAGGTAAATATCTGGCTAAGCACCTTGATCCACAGCATGTCTTCTATGCCAGTCTTACCTTACTTCATAATAGTCCCGCTTAGTGGTTTTAGTTGTATGTTTTTATTTCTATATCATCTTGATAAACCAGACTTCATCCTGTAGCTTGGAGTCAGGAATTACCGCTTTTACCGTTCCTGTTGATGAAAAAAGTGTTGATCCTCATTTTAGTTCTCAAACTTCTCAATGTACTGATTCACTGTTCACCTAGAATTACAAATTGTGAATCTGAGGATAGTTGCATGATATATCTAACAAATATTTTTGGATGATCTTTTAGGGTTTGTAATAATGGTGAGGAACCATTATGCATATTGGCCAAATGTGATTGCCGTGATATGTAACGTTACATATTCAAAGTATCATAATAAACTAAACAGCATTATTTGTGATGGCCAAAGTGCACTGACCTCAAGTTGGTCACTGTGTATGTGTGTTGTAGTTGTGAGGATTCATGTTTTTAGTTGGTGTTCAAAAAATCAAAACTTTAATTTGAAGAAGAATATTACTTTTGAAAGTTTCATTTCATACTCTGTTACTGTGTCACAATTATTGGAAATTAAAAAAGGTGAGATTTATTACCTATGTTTATGAGAAAAAGTGGATATTGCAATTAATATTGTAACTGTAACAAAAAAAGAAATCAATTATTATTGGTATCTAGTCAGGACTCCTTTGTTTCTCATTGATAGGTTGCTGTACTATTCTTAGAGTTGAATATTTGGAAAAGATTATCAACCAGCGACATTTAATTTTATGCCATAAATTTGTAAGCCAACTAATAAAAAATGAAAAGCCTTTGTTCAAATTCAGATTTTGTTGTTATCATATGCTGTTACTCAATCCACAGAGCCTTAATCATATCTCAGTGAAGTGAAGTGAAGTATATTGGTTAGGTCTTTTAGTGTTGGTCCTGTCGTTCAGGGAAAGCTGATGAAACTGATGATAAAGGTTTGATTATCAATATGGGTATTGTGTGTGAAACTCATTCCTGGTACCTTGCTGTTAGGTGGCTGGGATCCTCTCATGCTCACAGTAGATGTTTCATTTAGATATCTAGAGACTAGCAAACAACCCAGTACTGGATGAGGGGTACAGGTGGTCAAGTTTATAAACCATTACTGCCCTTTGCTGTGCCAGGATCTGCAAGTCATGGCTTTAGACATCAGGTTTGATTCTGGCCTGTCAGACCCATAGGATATTTATCTTAGTAGGATGACCTGGGTCCCAATACACAAAGCGTTTGTTGCCCTATGACGTTCGTAGGCCTATGGTAAAAAGTAGAGTGACGACAGGTAACGTTACGACTGCTTTGTAGATTGGGACCCTGGTCAAAGGCTTATGGGGCGGTGAGGTAGCCTAGTGCTTAAAGCGTTGGCTCGTCACGCCATAGACCCGGGTTCGAATCCCCACATGGGTACAATATGTGAAGCCCATTTCTGGTGTCCCCCGCCGTAATGTTGCTGGAATATTGCTAAAAGCGGCGTAAAACCAAACTCAGTCAGTCAGTCAGTCAAAGGCTTATCTCCTTTGTGATATGTTCAGGTGCAGTGCTCTGTGCTACTGACAGGGTCTGTCCTGGAACAAAAGTTTATGGTCAGTCTAGATACATTTTCATTTAAAAAACAGGGTAGCCTTTTGATGGTATGCTGTTGAGATTATACTAAACTTCGCCAAACCCATCTTTTGTCTGTATGCTTGAATGCTGTTAGTGACTTTACTCCAAGAGCTGAATGATCTGATAGTGGCTTTGCTCCCTCCCTAACAATGTATCCTCAAAAACATCTTGTGCTTCCCTCACTTTTTGTAGCAACAGATTAAAGAATTGTTATGATGAGAAAATTGTCTTGGAGTTCAAGACTGATTTCATTGGCAGTTTACTTTGCTGTTTTGTGTGGCAAAGCTAGTGAATATATCAAAATGTTTTTGAAGTATTTGAAATGGGTATCTCTATCCCAGATTCTCCAAGAAGTGTATCCAGGGGCTTTTTATTCCATAACAACAGAATTTAATCAAACTCTTCTCCCAACAATAATTCTTCATATCTTTCACAGTCATACATGATTATATATAGATTGAAATGTCTAAATGCTGCCCCTGTTCAACAGTAGAAGCACCACACCATAGCTTGTCTGTATATAAAAAGTTAGGTTGCCAAAATAAGTTTTGAGATAATTCAATGAATTATATTCAGGAAGATATATTAATATGATATACTCCTGTGAAGATCAGGGTTAGAATTGTTTTTTAGGAATCATCGTTAAGAGGCAACAAACTACTCAGGTGGTCAGGCTCGCTGGTTTGTTTAATGCATTTCATCATATCTCAAATGTATAGGTCAGATGTCAATCACTAGATTGTCTGGTCCAGATTGGATTATTGATGGACTACTGTCACATAGCTAGGATATTGCTGCGTGCAGATTTAAATAAAAAGTTTAACTTCTTTCCAATGGCTGACATGGCAAAACATTGGCAAGATATGAAATGTAAAAAAAGTAGATATGATATGATCTGTTTAATCCTCTGGTCCTTTTGAAATTATATGCCAGAAGTTTTAAACCCTCAATAACCATTCATTTAAGTACAAGCTGTCCTTTCTCAGAAGACACATTCAGGTACACTGAGCATTTTTGTTTACAAACTTGGTCTTCAGTATTTTGTTGGACTAACCTCTTATCTATAAAAACAAAACACTGCTTGTGTTATGACCACTGTCACAAGCTGAAAGTTCTGAGCAAGTTTGATAAGGTTCATTAATCAAACGTTAACCCCTTCTGTAGTTGTACTATGTGTTGTTGATACTTGAGGGGTTTGTTTTGAGATGGATTGTACACTGCATTCAATGATACAGATGTTGGCGAATCGCCCCTGATCCAACATCCTGTTGATGAAATGTATGAATTATTGGACGGCACTGTACGTGGACTGTGATCACGTGATTACATAGTTCACATACATTACTACTGAGGTTTGGATAGGGATATTGAGATGTGTAATTCTATTTTTTTTAAATAATTGATAAATTTCTGTTTTGCTACTAATTGGGTGGTCTGGCTCACTGACTTAGTTGGCACGTCATTGTATCCCAATTGTGTAGATCAGTGTTCATGATGTTGATCACTGGATTGTCTGATCCAGACTCAATAATTAACAGATAGCTGCCATATAGCTGGAATATTGCTGCTTGCGGCATAAAACTAAACTCACTCACTCACTCAATCACTAATTGGGTGGTCTGGCTGGCTGACTTGGTTGGCACATGTCATATCCCAATTGCATAGATCGATGTTCATGATGTTGATCACTGGATTGTCTGATCCAGACTCGATTATTAACAGAAAGCTGCCATATAGCTGAAATATTGCTGAGTGTGGCGTTAATCACCAATCAAACAAATGTTCCTGTTTTGAGTATCGTGAAATAAGAATAAAAAATTACTATCCAAAGAGAAGTATACTTAAAGCATGTCTTCGATTTTCATTCAAATATAATTGCTACCTCTATGTTGTCGGGAGGAGCCAATGTCACATGGTGGGTGACCTGGTGCTTCGGTGACCCTGTGACCTGATGAGTTGTCCTGTATAATAGATCTGCTTCTGATGTGTTGTTGACATGTGTGCTCTACTTGTGAGCTGTGTATCATACTGTATAGACATCAGTACTTTGTTCCAGCAAGACCTCTATGTATACCCTATGTAGGTTAAGAAGAAAACGTGATTGTCGACAGTTGCTGATTGGAACCGGTCTCTAGTGACACATGCTTGTTAGAGAATACTTAAATGGGCATTGAGTGGTCACAATGCCTTCTCAGTGTGAATAATGTTAGAGTTGCTGACTACAGCCCAGGGCCTAGATTTTCAAAGCTCTCTTAGGGCTAAGATCGTAGTCGAAGTTAATGCTAATGTATGGCACATACGACTCTCTTAGCACTACGATACTCCTAAGTGCCATACATTAACATTAACTTACGACTATCTTAGCGCTAAGAGAGCTTTGAAAATCTAGGCCCAGGTTGCTGCTGTACATCACAACCTCGGCGCTACAACAGTCGTAAGTCTATGTTAAGGTATGGGAGTTACGATCACCTTAGCACTGTGACTGCCCTTTGTGCAATGGTCGAGTAAGTCTATGTTACTGTATGGTTAAGTGCTATACATCACCTTAGCCCTAAGATCCTAAGATCCTTAGCCTTTGTACAATGCCACCCTGTTCCGCAAGCGATCTTAGAAATAAGACAGTCATAATTACCTTACCTTAATTAGATTTACAACCAACCATAACACTAACCTCACTTAGTGAAATGAGGCCTCACTACTTTAAAAGGCGAACTCTCAGCTATCCCAACTGATCATTTCAGCTGGTTTGTCAGAGTCATGCTTAAATCATGGCATCCTCATCAAGTTATGCCCCTGCTTTAATGTGAAGCAATATTCACTGAGGCTTGTGTCCATGATGTTTAGATTTGACATATACTACTCAAAACATTTTTTTCTAGCTATTTTATCTCTTTTGTCATGACAGATTAACAGGCCAAATAAAAAGTGTTTTATAATTTCTGTTGAGAAGTGTAAATGTAGAAATGTATAATTTGTTTTTAAGTGCATAATTATGTATATAGTTATGTATGTTAATCCCCGGCAAATATTGCAGATAATTTTGATGTTAGTTTTAATGCAGCTATTTATGGGTGATGTGAAGTTCCTTGTATGTCTGTGCTGTGTTAAGTGTTAGCCCAGGTTGTTTCAAGGATGCAGTCTAGACATATATTGTTCTGTATACTGTTGATGAGAAAGGTATTATCAAGTTGACAGTTTTGAGAAAATAAAAGAGGAACACTGAATGTTTTTTGTTTTCTTGATGTTTCGGGGGCAGTGGGGTAGCCTAATGGTTCAAGCGTTGGCTCGTCACGCCGAAGACACGGGTTCGAATCCCCACATGGGCACGATGTGTGAAGCCCATTTCTGGTGTCCCCCGCCGTGATGTTGCTGGAATATTGCTAAAAGCGGCGTAAAACCAAACTCAGTCAGTCAGTCTTGATGTTTCGTTAGAATCTCATGGCAGTTTTGTTTTTTGTTTCTTGTTTAAAGCCACCTTCAGCAATATTCCACCTATATGGCCGCTTTCTGTAATCAAGTCTGGACCAGACAATCCAGTGATCAATCATCATGAGCATTGATCTACCCAATTGGGATAGAACAGGTGGTAATTACAGGGGTGACTACTGAAACTTGAACTTCAGATGTTTTGTGTCTTGTCCCTAAGTCGGCCCTGTACATCTATCTTGTCGAATCCAGCACTGTAAACTGTGTCTATGCCACATTTGCGGCCATATTGGAAAATTCTTTTCTGTATCCCTCAAAACTGAAGTGAACTCAAAAGACCTGCTCTATTTTCTGTTGTGTAATCCTGTAACATATAAGGTTTGACTTGGAAGGTGTGATGGCACTACTGTTGCTTTGACTGCCACTGCAAGCCACTTTCTGTCGTGGTTGGGGGGTAGAAGGGCTATGTTAGGTGGTGCCTTTCTGTGAGGGGTTCGTAGGGTGACTGGGTGAGTTGATTTATCTGCGTCTGCATCCATAATACGTCTGCCTAGAAAACCCAAGGTCTGGGCTCGGGTCTCCGGGGCATACAAAAAGACTTGTAAAGGTTAATACTTGTTGTTATCTTGCCTGTTCATTAAAACCGCCTCCGTGGTGTAGTGGTTAGTTGTCCGCCCGGAGAACGGAAGGTCGCGGGTTCGATCCCCGACCGCGTCCTACCAAAAGACGTTAAAATATGGTACTTGTTGGTCCCTGCCTGGCGCTCGG